AACAGAGAATCAAGAATGTAAGGAACACAATCTTGTCTGATGTAGTAACTTGTCAAGGTTAACTAAGATGCAACGATGAAGGTTAGACATCCAGGTAATAAACTCGTTGAAAATGCCTTCCCTTGCTTATGCCACATTTGATGCCACCTTTCCCAAAAGCACAAGTACGGTTAGAAATAATGCATAGAACTGACTATGGCTGTTCCATCCACCAGGCCCCACCCCCTGCGGAGGAGAATGAAGAACAGGTGCAGGAGAAGATGAGGAGGGAGTACGAGACGTATCTGCAGCTGGAGAACGAGCTGCTAATTTCACTGGGGGTGAAACAAGAGGAGGATGAGCCTCTACCAGAGAAATGAGGCCACACCAATTTATTTTCTTGGTTAACGGATTTTTGTAGAAAAAAAAATGGAGCGGGCGGGCGAAAAAAAAATAAAAATAAAAATTTGATACTACCTGCCATACATGATGTAGTGTGAAATCCAGACTGCTTATTAAGTTACGAAAATACTGGGAAAGAAACAAAAGACAAGAGAGGATGTACCGTATTGTGTTTTATTTGCTATCCACACCATTTGGGTTAATTGATAATCTTTTCGTACACGAGCAAAATGCAGAAAACAAGTTTTAGCATGTTACTTCCAAGTTCCACCATCATCATATGTACCCTGATATGTACTCTAAAACATGACACGAATGTTAACTCTCACAAGCAATTTCATAGTCACAACAACTTTAAAGGGGACAAAATTTATTCAATTTTACATGTACTGTACCTAGATTCTGCTTTGATCCAAAGTTCCAGCTTTCTCAAACAATTTAAGTCCGCCATGAGGCTCCCGCCAGAACAAAACAAATGACTGAGCCAACATGGTTCCAGAACATCGCATCTGATTGGTCAGAAAGTAAAACAATCCACGATTGGCTACTTTACGTCATGTGACTATGTGTGCAGGAGCGCCTCTAGCGACATTGGTATCAACTGCAGCAATTTCATTGGGGTCTCCCTGTTCAGGGTATTACCGGCCTGTGGGGTCTAAACTATGACGTTTTTTATTTTTATTTTCATTCGGCAAAAAAAGCAAGCGGCGAATCCGTTAACCAAGGAAATAAATTGGTGTGGCCTTAAGTCTATATGAAAATAATTTTTGTTGCTAAACCTCTGCCCAGGCTATGCTTTACCAAACTTTTTTTTTCTAATTAGAAAAAAATGGGATCATTGTTTTTCTTATGTAGCACAATTTGTCACTATGTTAAAACAAATTTCGTGGAATCCTTGTTGATCCAGCTGTAAGTGAAGTAGCAGCTCGAGGCCTGCATCGAGAGGCCCAGTACGCCACGGCAGCCAAGGACCTGGCCTCCTCGGGACAGGAGCCTGTCATCAACCACGTGGCCTCACCGCCCAGGAACGTCAGCCAACAGGAAGACACCGTACCCAGGAACAGACTCACGTCAGTTAATCCGATAGCTGTCGTGTCCAGTGCGCCACAACAGGTCAGCTCGGCCAGTCAGAGCCACGCGTACTCACCAGCAGACGAGTGGGGAGAAACAACAGAAGTAGCGGGCACGTCAGTAGACGCTGTCCAGAAGAAACTGTTGTGGGCAACTGAAGAGTTAGGGAAGACTTCATCGATAGAGAATAGCATTCAACTCTGCATGTTGATAAAGGCTTGTGCAGAAGCATTGGTAGCATTGAAAAAAGTGTAGAAAAGTAAGAAGTACAGATGCACAGTCACTTTATAACAATGTAGTCTGTAAAGTGTAGTCTGTAAAGACCAATGTTGATTGTTACCTTGGTTTCTGACAATCACACAATTGTAAACCCTTACTTGTAGTACCACTTTCTGTTGCTAGGAGGTGCTGCTGTAAGTAGGTAATACATGTAAACCTCAAGCTTGTTTTGATACTAGTAAAAGATGTTGCATTTGTGCTATTCACATAATATAAACCATCCTTGTGTCATTGTGATCCTTGTGCTGTAGAGATTGAATTGCCTTATGTATTAATAGAAATCTAGCCTGCACTCAGCTATCCTTTAAATTGTGTTTGCAGTTTGCCTTACCATCCAAATGAAGAATACCTTTGTATAAAATCTATGTTCTCTGTCTGGATTAATGTAGTTTTCTTAGTTTGTAGAAAATAAAATCAGTATCTTTTTTTTTTCAAATACTAGTTTTTCATTTTTCAAGCATCAGACCTACTGAATTTGGGCCCTCCTAAATTTAAGATCAAGTGTTGCCCAGGTCCCTCCATGCACAAACACTCCTAAAACCCAGCATACAGCATTTCTTAGACCCAGAGCATATATACTTGATATTCCCTTTACGTTGCAAGCACTCTCCCTCAGAGTGATATCTACAAGGGACAGATCTAGCACCATGTTTGGGTTAGACCTATGCTAATTACATGTATACCAGGAGTCGGGCTTAACTGTATATTGAATTCCTGCCATGAGAGAGATGAAAACATTGGATTTAGTTACTTCAGCCACCTTTGTAGTTAGCAGGGGAACTACTGGTACATGTATGTTCATACAATAGTACTTGGGTATATGAAACCCAAGCCTTGCCCTAAACTGATGTCCAGCACATTTTTGTGCCACAGAAATTGGGACAAACAAGCCAGGAATAGATTCATGTTATGCAAGTGTCTGTCTGCTCTTGATACATTTGTACAGTGTATGTGACAGCTACATTTGTACACGTTTTATGAAATAGGTACTTGTGGCTGGTGTCTATGGGATTTGGGCAAGCTATAAAGAGACAATATTGGCAGTGTTACTGTTATAGCTGTTTATTTGAGTTTGAGCCATCTGAAAACTAGTCTGACCTGGCTTCATGGTTGGGGCTGCGGTCACGTAATATTCATTGTACAGTTTTTAAATACCGTAAGATTTTTAGCAACCCTGTGGTAGAGCCAACCATCAAAAAGGAATTACAACAACCTTTTTCATCACAAGACAGCTGCATCTTATTGGCAACACTGTCCCCTAAATGCCCTTAATTTGCTGTCATACACATTTAAAATGTACAAATGTGACCAGGCCCTTTAGTTTTGAATTTGAAAACCCTTTTTTCAGCTCAACGTCAACATGTACCAACATATAGCCACTCCAACCGTGCTTTGGAAGTACATGAATTTATTCTGAAAAACCGTACAGAAAGCACGTCCAAATAAATATGAGCTGACAAACATGTCACAGTAAATAAAAATGTAACTACTAGACAGGTATTTTTATAGTGTGACCATTTCTTACAAAGACTGACAAAGATGTTAAGTTAAAACCCATTAGTACATGCAGTGATAGTAGGTTTATATATCTTAATACAAGGTTAAATGTTAATGCTAAATTGCACCTTTTTGATGATTGTACGGACTTAACTGCAGAATACCACATGAAACTTTTATACCATCTGCATTAATAACAAGACATTTTCACATACATGTATAATAAATGCAGCATTCGGTTAAACAAGTGAATAACATCCAGCAATATGGACTAAAACAATGTCCAAAACATTCTATAAAAGGTTGCATTAACATCACCAGAGCCCTGCTTAGTGCAACCCTAGAGCACCATACTGTGAGTGAGGAAAAGTAAGTTGCATTTAGCACTCCTTTCTAATAATGTCAGTTTTCAAGTTTTCATTTTTGATAGTGACACAGCACTTTGAACTTTTGGCACATAGCACAAAGCATGAAAATTACAACATGTATTCATAATACAATATCATATGGCAATTTTTATTCTTTCATGTCAGTTTGCTATGTATGTCAAAATGATTTTGTCTCACCACTGTCATTTTCAAAAGTAACATTGGTGGTCCGAAGTTGCTGTCCACTATTCCTGTACTCATGTTCTAAACAATCACAGCAGTCACTGGAATCACATTTCACAGATATGAAATGTGTTTTCACGCATTGTATGACATCATTGTTTTTTGGCATGGATAGAAGCACCCATCCTTGGCATCCATCAGTGATTGGCTAACCCACTTGCTTTGTTATCCATCACATTATGGCAGATCCGAGGATACAAACTGTGTGGCAATATTGTTAGATATGTAGCTGACAAGTGGGACACTTCTGATCGTTTATACCCTACAAATACAATCTTTCTAACCTCTACCCTCTACCACTATGCTGTCTTCAGTATAAAACCTGATACAAAAAATACAAAATATGCACCATTCTTTAGAACATTTCTGCACACAGAATAATACATTGTACAAAGCATCTAATACACCGTGTACACCTGCAACATTGGGAACATTCTTGTTAATACAACACCTCAGAGTGGTTTGCATGATATAAAATCTACCATTTGTACAAGGCTACAAAAAGCCTTTTTCCACACTTCAGCCCCTTTGACTAGGCATCCTTCCATCTTGTATCTGGAAGACATAGTGGCGATGCTGTATCTAAGGCAGTATGTTTAAAAGATGGCAAATATAAAACTGTGCAACCATGTAAATGTTGGCAACTTCATGTACCTTCTAATCAATCAGACAACTACATACCGTCTACTGAACTATGCTTTAAATTAAAGACACTTCTGTATTACAGACTTAACTCATAACAGAACTTGTGACACAAATCCTTAACTAGACACACAGTTTAATGCTTGGGGCCTGCCCAGGCCTGGCTCGCAAGGGAACTTCAAGTTGCAACACTGCGCTCCCCCATATTTACAGTCATGACAAAATACAGGTACTCTAAGTGGAAGACTGAGGTACGTTGTCTTCTTCTACACAGTCACCGTCATTATAAGTCATTTTTATACATGTACATGTCTGGCACTGATAAACGATGAACAAGTACAGCAGTTTAACTACAAAACTTATTTTACACATCTCCAGCCTTGCTGTTTACTTACTACACGTGATTGGATCCATTCAGCTGACTGTATATGTCGCTCCATCTGATACCTAGCCCAGGAGAAACCACACTTCGCGATGACATAAAATCTCCCAAGAAATCATCCTCATCTTTCATGTCATTCTTGATGTTGTCCTTGATATGGTCAATGTCCGATTCAAAGACTTCAGTTTCGTCATCTTCTTCATCTTCCTCCTCCTCATCCTCCCTGCTGTCTTCGTGGATGGTGTGGTCGTACAGTCTGGAGTCCATGCTGAAGGATCCTCCCTCCGAGGCCGGCTCTCCGATGGACTGTTTCACCTCCTGGATGCCTTCGTACAGCGACCACAGTTTACACAACAGCGAAACATCCATCTGTCGAAGACCAATCTGAAAAAACAGAACAAAAAACGTTAAAATCTGCCTGAAAATGTGGGTTTTACAGCACTGAACCTCAGATGGTCCTAAGGCTAATGACAAGTAGGTGTTACAATAGGCAAAGTTAGGATACTGTATCCACAGTAAAGTAAACATTGAAAAGGTTAAAACTCCCCTCAGGTCATTCTAAATGTTTAACCAACTGCATAATAACAACACAGGCTCCCTTTAACACATTTAACCCCACGTTTGGATCAATAAAGAACCCCCCACTTCTGAACATGTCAACCTCAAGGGTGAAACTACACTGACAGAAAAGGCTGACAGCACACATGTTGTACTTTTCACTTTTTAACAAGTAGTCCTGGGGGAAAGGAATGTTGACAGAGTAAATTGACAACACACACATGCCAAGGACACACTGCTGGGTAATTGATTGCACAGAGCTCCTTGTGGACACTTCTTACAAGGTACAGCCTCTAAGATTAATTGTGGGGCCATGAGATTGAAGATGTGATGGGATTAGTTTGACATTGACGGCAGAAGTAAAGACAAAACAAACACGAAGAATTACAAGTCGTCCATGTAAATGCCAAACTCAGACCATACACAAGGCCGCACCCACCACTTCAAGGCAGGCACAACATCCTTTGTACAGGTAGAAGTAAGACTTTACCCAAACACAGAGATAAAAGCCAACCTGTTTAGGGAAAGGACATGGTTACTTCTAGTCTACCACTGCCTTTCATAAAGAAGTTGTACCAAGAAAAACAAACAAACACCCCCCAAGTTGAAGAACCGGTATTTAGTAACAACAACCTAGAGCTGGGGCACAATGGAGGATATCTGCCCACATGTACATAAAGGGGTATTTTTAGACGACATAGAAAACATTGATCATGAATTTTTTTTACTTCAGATTTTCAATTTGCTGACAAGAAATAGGCCTAGGGTTTTCCAACTAAAGCAAAATTGAAAATAAACATTACACTTATCAGGTCCCCTGTGGACTTTGCTATCACCACCCTTGAGAGTGCTAGGTTTTCAAGATGGTAATACAGTGTAGTAGTCATGCACTGTTTCAATCAACATTCACTTCATCAGGCTCCACCTTATCTCAGCACACTCAAAACAGTCTGAGAAACCTTTAACACAAAGGTTGATTGTGAAACAGCGACCCTAGGAAAACTAAAACTGTGGTTAAAGATCCCCTCACTGCAAACTACCTGTCTGGGACAGTGTCTGTGTGTGCACAAGGTAAAGAACCTGTGTAAACATTTACTGACTGGCTGGATGAGATTGTAAGCCCAAAGTAACAATCGTGGGAGAAGCCCCTCCCTTCCTCTTCTTGGTGATCTCCCTGATGACTATATACGCACCTGCTTCTCATCTTACAAGACCAATACATATCTTTGGAGGATGCTTTCTTCCTCCTTGCCACTAATTTCAAAGTGCAATTCATGCTGTAATTTTCAACATCCGCTGATCATGGTTGGCAGCAGTTACATGCATGAGGAAGCCGCCACAATGAGCATCTTTATAGAGCTTAAATCCAAAACCTTTCTATCATATATAAAGCTAGTTGGCAACACACCATTGCATGTGAAAGAAGGTAGGTATGTAGGCTCTGTAGTTGTCAACAGTTCTATCTCCCCTCACACCGGTAACCTATGCTGTTCTGTCTTATATTCAGTGTGGGAAATAGGCTGTATCCAAGGGCTGGTTTGTAACAAAAATAACAAGAAAAGGATATTCCCTTTGGTTAACACATCAGCACTATCAGTCCATCAACTTGTGAGAAACACGAGCCAATGCACTCAGCTAGCCCTGTTTATTTTAATGGGCTTGTGTTACACACGCTGAACTGGTACAAGTAGAAGTATACATTTTACTTTCGAAAAGACTGACATGGGAAAAGAAAAGAATTTTCAAGGATGACAAATGGATGGAACAAGATTTAACAACTTCCAAAAGAATGACATTTTTGTCTTTGAACCATGTCAAGTACATGCATGAGAGACAATCCAGTATGCACAACACATGTCTTTAAAGCTGAAGGTCAAAAACTTTCCATGTCCTTTTGGCCCCGGTTGGGGACACACCATTTCATCTGAAAAGATGTTTAGCTTCTGCATTTATCAACGTTTGATAAGGTGTATTTTGCCCAACCAATTCTCCATAACCATAAAACACAGTACCTGTATGTCACATACATGTATATATGATATATTAAGGGAAAAAACAGGAAGCTGTCAATGTCAGAACAAAATACGCTGTACCTGTACCACCTCTCCCTTGTCAGTGGCTTGTGTTCAGAGTGCAAGGACAGGGCCTTAAGAATTAAAGTGTCCATTTCACTTTAATGAGTTTAAACCCCAGCTGTTGTCTGGAATTTCAGACCTCCTAGTTTAGCTCTTGAAAATTACTTGTTTGCAGGTCTAGGCTAATCTTCACACAGATATATCTTTTCCTACGAGAAAAAAACAGACCACCAAAGAAAAAACATGGATCTGAAGTCCATTCTGAGATCAGGTCCAGACACCCTGAAACTTCATACAAATAATTTAATAAAATAAACCAACATCGAAATTCCTCTGTATGCCTGTATGCCTGTGTTGTGGCTTTTTTCTTGGTGCAATCTAAAAATACATATGTGTACCTGCAGCAGATTTTATCATAACAGTAATACCTAATATGCTATATACATGAACCTGAGAAACTGAAAAAGGTTCTGCAGGAATGATTAAAAAAAAAATACAGTTTTGAAAAAGAGATAGTGCTGGTAAGTTAGTGTAGCGGCAGTAAAGGCCACCCATTAGTGCCATTCCTTTCCGCCAAGAGTCACTCCTCAACATTGCCCACATTCTCTCACACTTTGGTGACATTTGTGGAATAGCTGCTAGTTTGTCCAAAGGGCATTACAGCCCTAGGATCGACAACCTCTCATAGCTATGTCATTTCACAGGTATGTGCCTGGGTAAATAATACTCCTCTTCACAAAAATCTGTGTCATCCGCATGGCTGCAGTCACATCTGTGGGGAGGAAACCATACTGACTGCATGTTTGTTATCCCAGTACCAATCAAAATTTTTCCACATACTTAGACATGCCATCATAGCTGTTTGAAGTACCATTCCTCACTTTATGGCAACCACTATCAGGAAGACATCAGTACACATTAAATGTACAAATGGCCTATTGTCACTACAGTGTAATATAATTTCCCATTATCAGGACCATATTGATATCCTAATTTGCACAAGGCATACTTCACCTTTAATAATTTAATGCAGTAATAATGCAAGACAGTACAGTTTGAGTTGTCTCAAGACTACAATGTAGGTTTCTAATTTCTTTTCAGCATATCATTATAAGAAGGGGAGTGGGGAGCACCTGTCCACAACTCCCCATGCATTATATGAATATCTTAATTACCCATAGCTGCCAATGGTCAAGCAGCGGGCTGTATTGTAATTGTATACCTACCTCACTTCTGAAATACATGTCCATTTTGTTTTTTTATTCATGCAAAATATATAAATGGCGCCTTATGCTCAGGCATGCAATACACACTGACAACTCTCCAGGAACTGACCTCTTTGCCCCACGTTTTATGTTACAGAGAAAGGCCAGGATATTCACCTTTCCTTCAGTGAACCCTGGGGTTAGAATGTCACCACAGATGTCACTGCCCTTTCCCATGAACAAAGGATGGATTATGTGCATGAAAATGTCTGAATAGAAACTTAAACACAAAATATTTTCCCAGGAAAGTGGGAAAAGACCTCACAGAGGAGTCACGAAAGAAACTTTGTTTCTTAAAACCTGACATGGAACTAACTTTTTTCATGATTTGTCAAGTGCCATCCCCTGTTAAGTCTCATAGCAAACCATTCTTTAGCATGACTTTAGTAGATATTTCCAAAAAGGACTAGGAGCCTTGTAATGAATTTTACAAGACATAGTCATTTTTTAAAATATTTAAAGAACAGTCCCTACGGGGTATTTATAGGCTCTATTTATAATGTATACAAACTAACAACACTTGACCCAAGGCCAATAAAGGAACAGCTGGAAATGAAATTTAGTTGGACCTTTCCTACCAGTGGTCACCTGAATACTTATGAAGAACTCTTTGATCTTTAACTTGAAAGAGACCTGTAGAAATCAAAAACCACTGGAGACAGCTGCTCAAACATTCAGCACAGGCTCAGACCAAACCTTGAGTCTCTATGTCATCTACAAATGTAATTTCGTTCCCTTCACAAAATCCACATGTCAAAAGGTCTCACTATACGATTGGCTGTCAGTAAATTATAAGTAGTCAGTCAAATAACAAATGTAGTTATTTCCAGATGTGTAAGTTTTCTCCGTCAAATTCTATAGAAAATATGTACAAGCCTCTCCCAAGATAATATCTCAATAAATCAAAATTTTGACTCCTTGAATGAAATTTGCATAACATTCCAAATTCAGATTCTGAATGTGGAGTATTACTGAATAGATAGATACTGGGCATGTGAATCAATCAAGTTTGTATGGACATGGTATACTAGATATAAAATGGTCATGTTTACAAATTTTTTAACCCACAACACAAAAGACATAAAAATGGGGGAGGGGGGCAACCTCAAGAGTTGGAAGGTCACTTGTGTGGTCTGCCCTTTTCACCCTCCCATGGCCAGGTGTAAGCCTGTACCCAGCTTGATTACTGACAGTACACTGCCTACACTAATGACAGATTCCTAAGCTCATAGGTAATGGGGCTGAACTATGATATTAAAGGGATCACCTGGTGACCACACCCTATATTGAATGCTACCTTTGTTAATGACAGCTCTGCATAACTAATATCATATCATTAAAGCTTGAGTCATAACAACAGAATGTTGTGGTTTTGCATTCGTGACACCAGGGTCTCTGTGTTGGTGTATTTTCTATCGTCACGTTTTATGCATCCAGCCACGTATATCTGGGCATGATACACTAGACGGATAACAACACGTATCATGGTGCATTGGTGATACCCTGTACCCATATGGTAGAATGCCATACATGTATGTGATTATTATCACTTCAACTGGAATAACAGAACTTGGAATCCAGCTGTGAAGGCCACTGGATTATGGCTCCCAGTTGGGCAGTACATTAAAAAAGAGACATTCTCAAAATTCCTTGGCTGAACTTGATGTCTATTTCAGTTGAAGACTGCTATAAAATGACAATCATGCAAAGACGATGACAATAAATGTAATGGAAGCAATATTGATAATGTACCACAAAATAGAACAGCACTGTCTCAATTTTTTAGACAAGAAAGGGTTAAACATTACAATACATTGTAAGTCAATTCTTCATCTCTGTCAATAATTTCTGAACAGCTGTTACTGTTAGCATCAACTTTGATCCAATCAATCTAGACTAGAAGCCACCACCACCAAGTTATTGTATTGTATCCCCCCCCCCCCCACCTCTCCACCTCTGGTGCGTCAGTAGGGTATGGATGAGAAGAACCAGAGATGTAATCAATGAAGACTGACAACCTTGCAGAGGGTCGGCTCAAGGCATGCTGTGCACTTAATTGCGTCCCTTGTGAGGACCTGGTTGAAAATTGTTTGGACCAGAAAACTGCACAGTCTGCACCTATAATGGAAAGTACAGCTCTTTTATAGTTCAAGCTTTGAAATAGTGCAGACATATCATCTTTCACTCCCCATTGCCAACCTGCAACACAAGGCTTTAAATCTCAAAATGGACAACTTTTGACAGGGGCACCTAAAAATAAACATATCGCTGCTGAGTTGGGCCTAAAAGCCAAGATGAACACGATGACCCAGATATACTTGGTTTGTGTTATTTGCAAGTGTGCTGAAGCCATAAGATTAATTTTACTTCAACATAATTTGATAGCACAGAGGTGCACATAGCAGCAACCCAGCCAGCGCAACCTTTTGACCAAGGAACCAAGGTCGTTTTGCAGGAAAAGCTCAAGCCTTAGGAAACATGTGACAGGCTTGTGAGGCCAAGAGCATGTACAGAATACTAAAACCAGGGGCTCCAAGACCCATGCTAGACTTGTCTGTGTATTGTTTCTGTAACACATACTGATGGTGTGAGGCTTAACCATCTGGACCATCTGTTACCAAGTCTGTATTACAAAGCTACAATGTACTACGTAGTACAGCATATA